TATCAACACGGGCTAGGACAAATGTGTGTATCGACATGGAAGAGACTAACACAGCTTCCTGATATGGACAATATGTATATATACACTACGACAATAATGTTCATGACGAAAGTGAAGAAATATACGATGTTTTTGCAGGGCAGTTATTTCAATTTATCCATTAAATCCTGTTCTGATGCGCTCACAAACACTTGTTTTGAATTTACTCTATCATATAGATAATTAGAACATTTTCTCTTCATCCAGTCACATTAAAGAAATAATGCTGTATTAAATTAAGTGTTTGACATAAAGCATAATTGCAATAGGAATCATACGTTATAGGAGAAGATTAATTTAAGAACTACCTATAATATGCAATAACTGGCACACACATTTAACCAATTCAGGCCCTCAGCATCACTGTCGAGTCCTAGATGGACGTAACAGCTGTATGATGCCGATTATATCATGCTTCGGCTCTACTGTATCTAACGTTAAAATGAAAAATAAAATACGATTCCGATGTTAAATCAACACTTCAAGATTTACATTATTGTGCCTGTAAATAAGGCGTCCAATTACCTGCTCCTTGTCTGCAAACATTATTACATTTCCTGTATTCACAAATAACTAGACTTGCTTGATAACGAAGGCAACTCCACTTAGACATTATGTAATCTTTTCAAAGACGAAATTACTGGCTAATGATGCTTCGGTATTTCAATAATTTAGATTGCCTTTTTATCATACGGACTCCATGTTTATATTGCATTCTAAACTTAACAAGAATCCGTGTAAAATGTTTTATAGCTGGTTCGTAAAGATGTACAATCAAGCCTTTGTCAAGCTAACCATCATTCCTAGTACTATGAAATCTAGGTTACAGTATTAATGTGGTATTGTTTACTCAAGAAGTGGAATTAATAGTATTTGGATTTTAAAGAACTCCATAGAGCTTGTTGCCAATTGGACATTAAGACATAACATACTCTTCTGCATCAACCGCTTATCTCGATCTTTTCTTAAAACGAAACAAACATGGACAGCGTCCCACCAAACTGTATGATAAGCGTGAAGATTTTGACTTCACTATTGTGATTTTTTCGTTTCTCTGTAGTAACATCCCTGCATCCCATCCTTTGGTGTTTACATGTCGCAGTTGATTCGATATTCAAGAACCTATTTCCATTATCACGATTTTCATGCAAGTCGTCAACTGACGGACAAATTCGTTACACAAGGCTTCGAAAGATGGTTAAGTTTTACAATCGTCATGGTCATCTCATTAATAATTATTTTATTTTATTGTGCGATATGAAGCTCGACGCGTTTGTTGTTCATAAGTTGTGTACCTCATTTGAGAGTGGGGCATTATTTACTAGATTGACCAAATATTACATGCCGGGTTTCGTCGATGAAGCAGTAGACATTTACTCTCTCGGAACACCTGATCTTATTTTCCTTGTATATTTGCAAGATTTTTCTTTAATTTATATTTTGATATAGTTTGAATCTATATGAATATTTTGACATGTTGGTATTTTCGTGTTTTTTGTTTTGTTTTTTTTGTTTTTGGTTTTGCTTTTTTTGTTATTGTATGAAAACGTGTTTATCAAAAACTGTTTTTATTACAATACTGACATCAAACGTATGATAACCTGTCTACAAATAGACTTTTTGATATTTCTTTGAAGTTAATATTTGTTTTAACAGACATTAGATTGAGAAGTTGGAAGACTTTCGTGATCGCTGCATGAAGTCATGAACGTCAATTAACACTTATAGAGATATGAACTTCTCCTCTATTGGCTGGCTAATTAGATAATGTGTGGGAGGAAAATTGATAGATATGTCGATATCAGCTCCGTACGTGCCGAAAAAGACGGGGGAGGCAGCCGGGGAGGGGTAATAAACTAGAACACGCTGTCAAACGGCCTCTCAATTTCTTGCAATATAGTAAGAGGTTCTATCATAATATTCAGTTTCATAAAGCATACCGTTAACGAGATGATGGATCGTATCCTTACCTATATATAGTTAATATCTTATGGTATTGATTCATCATTATAAATTATGACTGGTGGTGATGTAAAAAATCTGTAAAATGTGAACTTTATAACGTGAAAATTGAATATTTTTGTTTCCCTAATTCTCAGCTATCTTTTGTGTGATATGTCGCGCTTGCGCACGGTGACTTTTATATGATACACTTACATTCTCACACGAATCGATAATCTACATCCTGACATTTTAAAATAAATATGTATCAATAACTTTACATTCCGTGATTGCGTGGGAGGCTTTATTAACATTAGATTGAGTAAAATAGATAGACATGAACATCGACTTACATGAATATCATTTTATACTTGAAGATATTATCTTAAGGTAAGAATATTTTTTCTTTATCATACACTATTTTGAATTAATCAGATTGATTTATTCGAATTAAGACTATAATATATATTTTTTCTTCTGAAAATGGTCTTAGCCTGCCTCAATATACCTTATCAAACTTCAATCATTTTCTTGATTTTTAAACTAATGAATTGAAATGATACGATGAGAAATTTAGATCAGATTCATAGCTAATAAAACAAACAGTGACGTTTTATAGTACATAGCATCTATTAAGAGGAAGAAAAACCAAAACGAAATAGATCGGGAAAATGTTTAGGCAAACTATATAGCATATTGTCAATAAAGATTTCTAGAGACCAGTCAGTAAGATTTGACGGTGTTTATGTATTATCAAACCTGTCGTCGCTGTTTCATAAACATGAATTCTGTGACAAGACGTGGTACGGTTATACAAAAGAAATAATTTTATTGGGATGATATTAGCAGGCCGACCTTAATCGTGGATCATCCTTTATTGAGTATTGCACGTTATAAAGCTGGAAAGTGGGGCGTTTTAAACTGACAATGTTGCATGATAATCCATGAACATATTGAGATGTCAAAGGTATCCGCATGATGCATCTTTAAGAATAGTTTTTTCTAGGATAATGCTTTATTGCTCAAGTCACGAATGATACAAGTTTTTTTCCTCGGAACAATCTAAACACCCTGCAGTCGAGAATTCGCAATTATACCTTGTTGGAATTTCAAAATGCTATTTTCAAGGAATAAGGGCTCTTGGCAATGACACGCTCAATACTACCAAATAAAGAACCAAACTAGATGCGTTAATGGTTTAAACAGATTGAAGCAAAAATGTGCGTTTCTGGTTATTGGGAACTATATTGGCAAATGATGGTGTACTTCTGCAATACACATCTTATTCATGTACATTTTAAAATTCATATTATATATTTAGCCCGACCGTCGAAGGCACTTATTGCATAGCATTACAGAGAAAGGGACATACAAACATCAAAATCTAAATGAACAACGTCAAAATTGAATATATACAATGTTCTAGTCATCTTTGTTTATATTAGACAAAGATTTTATATTAGACAAAGATTGATGACCAAACTTTTTTTACAGAAACGGTAAATCCATTCGTTTAGCATAATAAAAGTCAGTCAAACCCATACAGAAATGCTTTTATTATCGAGAAAAGAGTTAATTACAATTGTTCTTTGTCACCTAGATTCAGGCCTTAATGAATACTTAATATGGATAAAGAGACATTTCTGTTGAATTGCATAAGCTTATAATTGCCGTCTTGAGCAAACCAGGCCAGCTAATAAATGATTCATGCAATATCACGATGAGAAGAGGAAGGAAGACTTATCTTTGTGAAGCGGAAGTGCTATCGTAACATGACAGAAATAGACTGTGTTTAATAAACGCACTGTCAGCTTAAGAATAGTAATATGTATATTCATATGATATTATAGTTCTTAAAGCTGGTAAGGTTTTCCCCGAAAGATTATTTGAAGAAGCGTTTTAATGATATGATAGTATATATTACGAGTATAGTAATCCACCGACTTGTTGAATTCATTTACCTGGTTATCGCACCATCAGTTTAGTGTAAGGCAAAAAAATGACAGATTCGTAATTTGAACAGCAAAATCAAAGAACTGGTGAACTATGAATATCAAGAATTTTTTCTCGGGAATTAGCACTATTTACTATTACTCTATCTTATCAAATGCTTCAAAATGACATGCAATTTTATTTATTTATTCATTGTGAAAGCAAAACACAAATTCTTTATTCATGATCACTCTAATATCTACATAAGTTTCGTTATAGTTTGAGGAAATATACTTTTTGCAGACTTGCATTTTTTACGTTGTTTGTAGTGACATATTGTATATATGTAATTCACCTGTCAGTAATATGAAATAGTTTTATCTACGTAACCTAACCTATCTGTGAGAATTTAAATCAATTTCAAGAATGAATTGCACTGAAGTGGCCACATGTCAAAATTTGCATTTGTTATGAATATTTAAACGAAAACAATCTGCGGTATTTCTAGACTTAGTCTTGATTATTATTTTATTTTTTGTTGAATATTTTCTGGACAAGAGCGAAGAGCAACCTTCTTTTGACTTTTTAAATGGAATAGTTGTACTTGGTTTAACTTGGTGACTCTATTTTTAATAAGGGGTTTTAGGTCCTCCAAGGTTCAAACTTAATTAAATCAAACTGTCAATGAGAAGAGATTAAACTTTCCAACAAAAGAAACGAAGATGTATCATTTGAATAATTCATAGCCACAAGTAGGATCTCCCGGCAGCTGCGACATAGCTTAGGTGCTTGAGAAACGATGGGCTTTATTAGATAACGCAGCAGATGAACTGAAGCGTCAGCATAAATGGCTTATCCAGAGTAGATACACATCTTGCTACTGTGCATGTGTTTGACTCTGGAATGTGCTGTCTGCTTGAACGTAGTAAATATAAATCCGACGACGTAAATAACGAGGTATGTCATGTCTTTTAATTGTATTAACAATCAATGCATGCTAATTGTTTTATGGAGTATAGAATATCAAAATGTTCAAGATAAATGTGCAATCATTTTCATAAGCATATTTAATTTTTTAGACGTGTAATATGGCTTACCTATGGACGTTGATCAGGACGGGAGCTATTCTGTTGACAGTGGTTGTTGATTTCACAACATGTGCCCCAGCCACTAACGACATACCATCTACCTCCTCATTTAGGCGCGTAAGAGCTGTTGGTGCTGCATCTCAGAATTCCATTACTTCCTCTACCTCCACAACTCCCTCCTTTCCTCAGGATGCTCCTAGAACCACTAAGAAATCCACAACGACAGTGCGTGTCACTAGATCAACATCTCGGCCCACCACACTTCCCAGCTCTGATCCAGGTAACGCAGAGCTTATTTTCAATTATATATATATATAAAAAAAAAATTCTGACATTTTGTACATTTACTTTTCGGTGTATGCGTTTTGTATTTTCACTGTAAAAATAACATGAATATTCTGAAAGTGTACAGTAATTGTGTTAATAAATGAGATATTACATCTTTTAAAGAAATGGTGAATAAGAACCAAATCTGATATATTATCATTGTATTGACCAGACTGCATGCACAGGCCACATCCAACGAATCCAAGACTCTTTGAAATCGCACGTACTCCCAATCAATTTGAAGGCGAATACCAGACATGTGCGTCGTCGCTAGTGTGGAACCAGGCCACTTGTGCTTGTGACTGGCCCACACAAGTTTCTTTGAAGGATCCAATCTGTGGTGAATACCGTAAACATCCTGATTTAAATCGACCCTGGATGTATCAAAGACTTGTCAACTCGGATTGGATTGACTACTCCTGTAGTGTGCATATACGGGGACTCTTTTCAGAAAAAACGTGCCAATGCGATTATGGTCTGAATATAGAAAGTCAGACTACGATACAAATTCCGAAAACGGATCCAGTACCAAAACGTAAGTAATCTACACCATCGCTTTTACATTTAACTAATCATTAGCACAGATAAGCAAGACACGTGTTCCTTTGTTACTCACAATGTGCATTTCTTGCTAGCATGCAAAACAGACATGCATCGATTGCAATACTTTTGTAAATGTGAAAGTTTAAAAACGATATGTAGTGTATCTTAAAGCTATGTTGTGCGTTTATTACTTTCAGGGTTGATACAGGCTAATACATATCGCCATGTAAAACATTAATTTCTCTGTTACAGAAATAACCAAATGTGTAGTTGTTGCCAACATAACGATGGACAGACGTGTCAAGGACGACAGTGGGGGTCATTTGACATTATCCAGAAACGCGCACATTCGGATAACCAATAGAGTTAAAGGGTCAAAGAATGGAGCAGCGATTATACGGAGATCACCGATCCAAGTGGAGTCGTTCTATGCAAACGACCTTACAGACACTGTGCGATTTGCATTCAACTTTAAGGTGCACAGATTCAGCATAAATTCGAGGCGTCACATGGTACTGATGAGCAATGGCTGCTGGTCAACGTCTACATCGATGAGGTACAAGATAAGACCTTCGGTGGAGATCCGCTTCAGACCTTTTGACCAGACATTTGGGATTTCATTTGAAACATTTGGAAACCGCATTATTAAAAATATCAGAGGAAATAGAGTAAGTAATGCCCTCTCAAGTTTGATATGGTTTTCGTTAAGAAGTTAAATGTGTTTGATGCTCATAAGTATGTCAAGTTTTTTCGTCGTAAGTAACCCGGTTCTCTTTTCAAGAACGTGGCATAATTTAAATAGGCGATTTAAATGACGGTTATAGTGTATGCAGTGGAGCAAGCATATCTCTCGTGCACACATGATCATTACCACTGTACTTATCTTGTAAATATTTTACTCTCATCGATGATTATTTGTATTTTATGTTGAAATTTCTGTCCACAAATTGCATTTGTAACTTATTGATTAAGAAAACATATTGTAGAAGTTGAAATAAGATGTTGTCTGGTTTATTTGTGTCATAATAGTGCCGTTGATATAACATTGACTCACGAAACTTCAGGTGAAGATCCGAGGTGTGTAGTTCGATTCTCGCTACCTATGGCGGCTTGTGTGTCTTATAAGATTGAAACGGATATATCTATGCTATCATGGTCATGATTGTGACCTTGTGAAAAACTCTTTACACAATTTGATCTGGATGGTTTGCGACAGGCATCCAGTTTGCTGTTGAGTGAAGCAGCTGTAAGCTACCACAAGTTTACCTCGTCTCAAAATAATCATGGATGTTACCAGAAACAGGAACATCCAGTGCACCATTATGGTACATTTGGAATGATATAACTAGATATCACGTGAATATGACACTAAGCTTTGCATCTCTTTAGTTTAAAAGATATGCTAACATTAATATGTTCCAGGACAGGGATGGTTGGTACAAAGTCGTGTTATACCTACAAGATAACACACTTACATTAATAGTCAACAACAGGAAAGTCTTCACAAGATCAGGAATGAACGGTAAATACAAATTTGTTTTAAACTGATTAGATTTCTTGGTATATTAAAGAGTTATAACTTAAAAGAAGAAGATTGCGTAATTAAAACATGTACAATAAATTATTCAACTCATCGTGATAATGCAATGATAGAAAAATTGCTGTGAATCATTTGTTTTATATCATTAAGAATTGAACTACGATTGAGAACGCTCGACCTTTTTAGGAATGGTAAATAACTGTTCATTGCGTATCATGGCGGTTAACGTATTGCATAATAATCAAAGAGCGAACTGTTGATGTCCTTTACAATAACATTGCTAAAATTAAATCTAGTTACTGTTACCTGCTTATAAACCAATCCTGATGGCATAATCTTCAATGTTTATTTTAAAGTTAATATTTCTGTTTACAGGTTCATTGCGCAAACGTGACTGCAAATTAACGATTGCCGGTTCCCCTTACCGAGCGATGGACCATTTCGATGGCTATTTTGATGAGGTTAGTTGTAATGACATAGCAATCACAATGATTGCATATTGTTAATGATATCAGTTTCATTTCCTTTCGTTCATTTTTTATTGCTATACGTCATAACAACATCTATAGTAATTCAAATATCTCAGGAAATTACTATATTTGTTTCAATAAAAATATACGATGAATCAGTAATTATCTATATGAGTATATACAATGAGGTAGTGAATTGTTGAAAGCTCTATAATGTATTATCAAAAGAAAATTACATTTGAAATATTTTCATTTCAGTTTCTCAGTGTTAAACAATGCAAGTGTGACTGCATGAACAGCCCTTCGAAAAATTTGCCGAATTGACGGGGGGAATCTGCAACATATTTGCAAGAAATTGAAGTAGCTGGTCTACCTCAAATGTTGTTTGCATTCGAATGTCCCATGTTTGCCATATTCGTCATCAGCAAATATCGTTCACGATCGGATGCTCTTAGTGAGTTACACCACAAATCGGATAAAAAATCGTGTATATCCGGTATTAAGGTGTTTACTTTTAGTACCATAAATATGAAAACAATTGATGTGTTGAGAACTAGCTAAACAACGCAGCTTACCTATGCGAAAAAAATATTGCTTACATCCTGTGCAGTTAAAATCTGTTTCATTCAGACTGCAGAACTGACAGTTATTCATCTTCATACGATTAAACCAACGTACTATATGAGATGCTAACAATTCTTTGTAGAAAACAAATCAGTAAAAGTGTTATAATCAAGTGACTGTGGGGACCACTTCAAATGGTTCCAATTAATCGTTACCATAACGTCTTAAATGCGATTCAAACATTGCGCATACGTCATGAGCAGTACGAAATTGGATAAAAAATGGTAACCGAAGATATACTTACATGTCGGGTAATGTTCACTGAATATAATCTTCAGTATGTAAACCAATACTCAAAAACATTCATGTACAGATATGTGATGTATTGTTTGTATCAGGTGTAGCACGAGTTGATAGAGAAGTGATATGTGTCACCAGCATGATCAATTTATGTAACATTTAGGTTGTGTTTTGTTTTCACATGAATTATGTAACAATAGTGAAGAAAACATACCAGGGATATAAAGAAGAGCTGTTCTGATGGGGTTTTATTTGCATTCCTGTGATATTTGACAGCGCTGATGTCTCGAAACAATCGAGGCGATAAGCCACAATCCAGGTCAGGTGAATGTCAAACCGTTGTCAATGACCAGGTCAGGTAAAACCGACAGTATACATGAATGAAATATGCTAATTACAATATTTGAATATTTTCAAGTGATATATAACACTCATTCAACTTTGACGACATTTATATTGCTCACAGGAGACAATTAATGTTTGGTAAGAATATAGTCACTGATTTTAATTTATTGCATTTTTAATGAAAGTGATTTACTATAAATTATTCAAACATTGCATATGTCAATAAATTATAAACGACATCAGAGAGCACGTATCTTCATATGTTACTTGCCTTGAATGATGGTCAAGTTTTACAATTGATGATACTGATAAACTCCGTGTTAATTAACATAGATGAGACCAGAGTATCATTACTGTAATCTTAATTACAACCTGTCAACAAGGCCTTATTAGTTCGCGTGACTTTATTTATAAAAGTCAGTGACTTAACCTTTCATTTAATGAGGTGATTTATTTATTTAGCAATGATTATATTAATTTACTTATCTTAATATCGCATGTGCCAAGAATACTAACAATTCATACCCGTTCATTATCATATGAATACATTGTAGATATGCTCATTAAGAATACATATGCAATAAGGTTCGAAGTACTGCAATGCATTGAATCAAAAGTGTGGAGATATGGAGTACTATTGCAGGAGAATTCTGCCGTGGCAGAATTAAATTTGAAAGTCCCATATCTGTTTTCTTGTATTTAATATTTAAATGGTATTTATGTACGATTAATGTCTTTGTCTGCAGATTGTGAATATTGCCTCTGATTATATACGTAGAAATATTTAAAAAGGCGAAATCGACACGGTAATTCGCTAACGTTGTCTATCCTATCAGCCATTTGTATGACATAATCGATGGTAACAGTAGGGGAGGTAACAACGTTGCTATCTATATGGTATCACGTCACTAAATAAAGTTAATGACCATCTATTAATGGTTTTATATATAAAGGTTGAAATTATGTTACTTTGTACGTTAATTTACTAAATTATTGGGTAAGTGCACTTCCCAGTCGTCTTCTAGATTTCAAAATGTAGAACTTTAACTACACTGACGAGACCTAGAAGGACGAAAAAGGACGATACACAAGTATGATGCGGTTCGATTCATTATTTGGCTCTGCTGAATCTACTTCTGAATTTGTAGCGGAAGGTGTTACTCATTTGTGTGTTTTTGTGCAATCTTGAATACTTGTTTTGTTCATGTTTTGTTTTATAAATCATCTCATGCCTATGTTTAGAAATGTTCGCCTAATACTTAATATAAGTAATACCTCAAATTGTTTTGTGTTAAGATTGTGTTTGTTATGAAACGTACGACTGATGAATGTATACAATCTTCTATTCACTGATTATTAAACTTAATAAACAAATGAAATTTGTAGTCAACTGTTTTTATATATTGCATAAAGAAATAAAAAACAGTGTATGTAATAGGTACATTGTATTGTTACTTGGTATTAGATGTCTTGAATTATTTGTGAAGAAGTTTCTTATGCTAATTTTGAATTGGGGAAAAAACGAACAAAGCTGATATTTTAAAAAAATCAAAGAAGGAAAGTATAGGGACTTGATTCTAGGGTAGCGTATCGTTTGGACATTTTAAAATAATGAAAATGGAATTTCCATTTTTAATTAATGATAATGGGATGTCCATTTTTAATTAATGATAATGTGATATCCGTTTTTTGTTAATGATAGTGGGATTTCCATTTTTAATTTTGATAGTCGGATTTCCATTTTAGGAGAATTTATGTATTCTCTCTTTGTTCGACTACATGGATAGAAATTAACATAATTCAACGGCTTCTTTACAAATCACCTTTGTGCTAAATGAAAAAATATGCATAAAGCTGAAACGCTCACTCAGTGGTGTTTCGCAATACTATAGATAGACTCTCTGTACTTTCCTTTACAAAACAAAAGCAACCAAGAAAAAAATAGTCTACACTGGAAAATGATTTAATCTAGACGCTTAACATCACTTACGTGTCCAGGAAGGATGAAACAGTTATATTTTGTTCATTACCGGGGGTATGCTGTATTCAACACTAAATGCATTTTGAAAGGTGCTTATCCCTGTTATTTTGTTGTTTTCCTTGGTCGTTTTCTCTTTCTTTCTATAATTGCATTATACCTTCATTGACTATTTCCATTGAGCTACTGCTATTTTTCCCTAATATAGCATAATGATCTTATTGATTAATTGCAGTATACAAGAATTAATTATCAAAAGAATAATTGATGAGGATCAAATGTCATATAAAAATGAATATATTATATTACAGAAAATAACGTGCTATTTAGTGTTCGTATTGCAACTATATACGGTATCTTATTCTCCACTTGAATGGATTCGTTTAGTGCAAAGCAAATGATCTTTTAGAAGTATGTTAATAGAAAGACAGACGTGATGATTTATGGATTATAGTAGCCTGTGTCTATAGACAGGATTGTTAGTTGAATGCTAGCTGTCAGTTGGTCATTGATTGTTGTTCTGACAGACGGTTCGAACATAATTAGATCTGAAACGATACCAAATTGACAGATTTATAGCAGCAAATGTACGCCGTTAATAGCTTTTGGTGTGAGTGGAATATTGATAGAATATGATATTTAGGATAACGTGAAGGAATGTAGTTAAAAATTTATTTATACAGGGAGTATACAACAAACACCACGCCTATATTTGTAGACAAAGACGGTCTATGTGCAAATGATCAATCTATGTGAAGACAAATTAATTGGATATCAATTAATTGTTGAAAAAGTAAAATACAACACACTCGATCACGTTTGATGACACCTGGAGCACGGACTTGTAAGTTATGTCATTGGCAAACATTTTCTACCGATCCATCATATTGAAAAGCCCTGTCAATAACTGAAGTCTTGGATTCTTCGAGAATATGTGTCGGGTCATATTTTATACACTGTGATTTTTATGATCTAATGTTGGATGTGATTTGATGTCTCAAAGAATATCTTCCAGAAACAACATATTTCATCATTGTCTCAATGTAGTATTTGCTTCATGTTGGTTTTGAATTCTATACCCGTTTTGGAAAACAGTAATTTGGGTAAACATTTTTATCCATATTTTGTTTTTGACGTTAATTCTTTCCAAAACTGATCAGCAGCGTTAAGATTGAGTACTGATATGTATAATGCAAAGACTTGTTCCGCTGTAGTTTAACTCACTTGGAATTATGATTTACTTACTTGAATTGACCAATATTTATACGCAGAAAACGGTAATTTTGCAGGACCTCTGTGTAAATCTTTCTTCTGTTCATATTTTGGCATAGTTTCATCGGATTTGAGTTTAATGTATGTCGTTATTGTCTGCCTAGTGTTTGTAATATATCTATTACATGATTGTTTATAACATATCTATAACATGATTTTGGTTATGACCTTTTTTGTGATGGTGTCTATTGATAATGGTTTGCAGTATCGTTATGGGTGTGATAAGTCATCACTTAGAGGTTGCAGGTGGTAGACACTGGAAATGGATCGTTAGTCTCTGAGATTTGCCGTAACCTGCATGCCACATTTCTGATAGTGGCACGGGTCAGAACATACACATGTTCTTCTAACATCATCAACTGGTACAAAATTTATGCAATCATGGAGATAGTAAACTCCATTTAGATTTTAGATTTTTTTTCGATCAGAATGGATTTTCTTCAGTCCTCTCCTAGGTTTTAGGCTCTTAGCATCATTGACGACTCATAGAAAGACGAAATAGTTGTGTCTTTCTCAATCCTTGCCATCATACAAACTCTTCAGTCCATTTTTTAAAATCGCCACATAGAAATGGAGAACGTAACCAACATACAAAACAATAGAGTGGATTGTGTATATTTTATTTCTGCGGAAGAAGCTTTCAAACGATATATTATACTGAAGCATACATCTCTGGTGATTTTACGTGGTGATAAAACGTAAATTGCAGCTGTTAGTTTGGTGTTTGTATCACGCGATCTGAAACAGGTTAATATAAACTTATACTATTTTATATTTTTGAAAGATGCATACTAGAACCTACGATATGCATATTGCGATACTTATTATAAAGATGGACATATATACCTACCGTTTGATCAGGAATACCTACTAAATCGCTAACATTAACGAATAATATGGAGCTACGGAAATTTAATCAATAACACATGAACAATGTTTCATCTAAAATTTGAAATGTATATATATTTCAGGCTTGGCATCTTATGAAAAAAGTCTTATGTGAAATGTTTTTGACAAGCGTATATATAACATTATTAGGATATTTTTCTTAGTTAGAACTAACAGTATCTAGGATGAGAAAAACGACATGTTTGCAGGAGTAGCATAAGCTTGGTTAGGGACATTTATCGAATTACATATCCCTGTTTCAGTATCTTGTAAATATATATATCAAACGAATATGAAACGTGACTGTGAATAGAAATTTTAATGACAACACCTTATTTATGTCATAAATATAGATATAATGTATCATACACACAATTACCTGCTGTTCTTAGTCGGCGTTCTGGTGGCAGGATTTTGTTTGATTGTCTTTAAGCAACGTTTCGGCTAATGATCCAGGTTTGGTGATATCATTATTATACTATTACCATCTTAATTGCCAACAATCTTATTTGGCCTGTCGTGCATATATCAATATCAATATATACATAGCCAATACATTAGTATGTGGCTCACCATGTCTAAACCTGTTAATTATTCAAATTCTGCAAAAAAATCAGTTCCTTATTGACATTCGAAATTACAAAAAGCACAAACATATCATTAAACAGTATAAGATAATTTGATTTCATATAAACAATAAGCGTAGCATATTACTTGTCAATTAAATAAAGCATTGCCAATCATATCAACTAACAATATATGGTCACATGTGTAACACCGTCTATGGTGTATATCATTAAGAATGTCGATGAGTGTAAAACAAAGACACCGAAGGACTAAACCTTCACTAAGCCCTATTGATCATCCAGTATTTAAAGTGACACATATGTCTGTTGTCCAAAGACAACATTTGTCAGGAGTCACCATTCTTTGGTATTACACAATATTACATCCAAACAAAATTATGATATGACAAATATTGTCACAAATGCCATTATATTTATCAAATCTTTACATTGTATGTATGTAGATAGCACCAATGTAAACAGTATAAACATTCCACATATATTGTATTATCACAAACAATTACACTGTCGCCATTTTTTTTTGTTTCCAGAATCACTGTGAACCACTAGTGGTCTTCATAATTCGTTTCCGTCGTCCCTTTCGTTTTGTGGTGACTGTGGAGTTTTTATCTCGCACTAAATAATCTTTATAACTGCCGTCTAGAAGTTTCTTGCCGTTACGCTGGACCATCCAACAAGGCGTCTCCCTGTTGGTAGCCAGATTAAGACGAGTTCCAAGAGTAGCCGTCAGCTTCCTGGTCTTTTTTGTGTTTCCTCTTACGAGAAGCTTTCCTCTTGTTTTACCGTCGACCTTCTTGGTCTTTTTAAGTGAAATCCGTCTGTGGAGTAGTTGCCCTGAAACGATAATACCATAGAATAATGTATCATTCCAAATACTCAAACCAAAACCTCAAATTCTATTAAACGAGTGCTACTAAAATATAAGCCAAGTGTTCCGAAAAGCCAAATGTTGTTTACTTTATCGAAGATACGTGGCATGGAAATCTAAGTTAAATCCAAGCGATGTTAGAATCCTTAAAATATTAAACAAGATCGCGATTGCGAAATCTTTAGTGTCCGACTAAGTAGCAAAAGCGGTTTACTTAAATACAAAATACACAAATGGCTTTTTTTCAAATAAACAAACAAAATGTATGATCACTGGACTGCAAACGGGTCAAACTAATATATGGTCATTCGCTTGTGGTGCTTTTCAATACAGTTCTAATAGGTACATTGTACAATTAAATTAATTCCATGATACACCACAACACGAGGGTGGTATATAGATGTCTACGTCATCAAAGCATCATATATTCAGAAAATGTGGTTTTCTATGCAATGTATGAAAAAGGTATGAACATTCATTATCTTGAAAAAAACTATTTGTCAAAAATGTAACAAAATAGGATAATTTTATGGTAGAACTCTTTGAGTTTTGTTCAACAAACTCATTTTACCGGACATATAGGCTGAAGCTGGAACAGTATTTTTAAAAGAAGTAAAAGATAATGAAGCTGCAAAAATAGCTTCACGAAATCTACGAATCGAGGAGAAATTTATATTTGTTTATTTTATAGCACGTGAATCATGAATTGTAAACAATACTTAATGTTTAACACTTCATATCTCTGTAGTTGATTTTTATGATTTTTGAATATCTAAGGATTTTAAAAGGATTACACCAAACTGTCACCGTAAAAAAGAAAACATCTGGACCATTAGCCAATATCATTATAGCGGTATGACAATTATGTGTTCCTCAGGAAATTCCTTTCATACAGACAAGTTAATTAATAGCACAAGAATGGATGTGATGTTATATCTGATAAAGTTAATGACGATTACATGAAAAACTTTAACAAATAATACCAAGAATTCCATGCGTATGCCAGGAGAATCCTTTCTCCTCCACGATGTAGAATCCTAGAAATGGCACTTTGCCCATCCTTAGCTGTGACTTTGTTCTCATATGACGTATAACCAACAGGAGTACTTTGTTAGGGAAGATGATGGCAATCTGTTGACCGGTTCCGTCAGTCACAACTTTCGTTCTGTGAGATTTTAGGGCCTCAGAACTTCTCCACGTGTGCTGCTGGCCATCCATGGTCCAGTTTGTAGGGGTGAAGGACAGCTTTGTTTTTAACCCCTCGATTCGTATTTCTCCAAGGTATGTCTTCGTAATGTCCTTGGACTGGTCGGCCAATCCGTCTTTTCTCTTCCTCCGTGAACCAGGTTTTTTCTTGTTTGAAATAATTGCGGCTGTAACACTTATACCTGCAGCAGACAAGAATGTGGGTTAAAGACCATGATATCGGAACCGGAAATAACATATTAATGTAACAAGTGTTCGTTTATAAGCCCATTAAATCACGTGTTCGTTGGTATCGTTATTAATTGTTATCAGTCAAAGATGAACACTATCAATGTACCAGTCTCTAAGATAAATCAGAAGCTGTTTATTCTGGCTATTGATTAGTAAAGTGAGAAACCAAATTAATCAAACAAAGTTTTAATTTCAATACAAAAAAAGTTTTATCAGAGGCTAATGGAAAAGAAGACGAAACAGTTATACACTAATGACATTTTTGTTGTAAATTATCACTGTAAGAGATATATACGTATTCAATAATGTGGGGTAATTAGCAAAATTAGCAATTGAATCAACTTGCACAAGTATTGTTGCCTTGACCTAGTGCATAACTACCATGTGTTGCCCTCTGACATAGAACCAATATTAGAATATTGTAGGATAAGCATATGTTACCCTCTGGTGTAGTACCAGTATTGCTGCCCTTGAAACCTCCATACTATGGTCCCTAGCGTGAAGTCAGGGTCTTATGAATCGAATGTACAATCAGTATATGTTGCCCTATATAGTTAACGACAATGTGCTGTCCCTTCGTGTAAAACCAACATGTGTTGTCCCCTAGCGTAAAACACGCATGTACTGCTCCCTCGTATATAATATAAAACCAGCATGTGCTGCTCCATCGTATATAGTGTAAAACCAGCATGTGCTGCTCCCTAGAGTAAAACAGCATGTGCTTTCACCTTATGCAAAACCAGCATGTGCTGTCACCTTATGTAAAACCAGCATGTGCTGTCACCTTATGTAAAACCAGCATGTGCTGTTACCTTATGTAAAACAGCATGTGCTGTCACCTTATGTAAAACAGCATGTGCTGTTACCTTATGTAAAACCAGCATGTGAAACCCCTAGTGTAAAACCATCATGTGCTGCTTCTATCGTAAAACAAGCATGTACTGCCTCTTGTATAAAACCAGCATGTGCTGCCTAAGTGGAAAAACCAATATGTGTTGTACAATTATGTAAAACCAGCATGAGATACCCCTAGTGTAAAACCAGTATGTGCTGCCCTAGTGTAAAAACCAGTATGTGATGTCTCTAGTGTAAAAACCAGTATGTGCTGCCCTAGTGCAAAAACCAGTGTGTTGTACCATTATGTAAAACCAGCATGTGCTTCCTCTAGTGTAAAAACCAGTATGTACTGCCTCTAGTGTAAAACCAGCATGTGCTGTCTCAAGTGTAAAAACCAGTATGGCCTTCCTCTAGTGTAAAAACTAGTATGTGGTGTCTCAAGTGCAAAAACCAGTATGTGTTGTACCATTATGTAAAACCAGCATGTGGTTACTCTAGTGTAAAACCAGCATGTGCTGCCCTAGTGTAAAAACCAGTATGTGATGTCTCTAGTGTAAAAACCAGTATGTGGTTACTCTAGTGTAAAAACCAGTATGTGCTGCCCTAGTGTAAAAACCAGTATGTGGTTACTCTAGTGTAAAACCAGTATGTGCTGCCCTAGTGTAAAAACCAGTATGTGATGTCTCTAGTGTAAAAACCAGTATGTGCTGCCCTAGTGCAAAAACCAGTATGTGTTGTACCATTATGTAAAACCAGCATGTGGTTACTCTAGTGTAAAACCAGTATGTGCTGCCCTAGTGTAAAAACCAGTATGTGGTTACTCTAGTGTAAAAACCAGTATGTGCTGCCTCTAGTGTAAAATCAGTATGTGCTGCCTCTAGTGTAAAAACCAGTATGTGCTGCCCTAGTGTAAAAACCAGTATGTGCTGTACCATTATGTAAAACCAGCATGTGCTGCCTCTAGTGTAAAAACCAGTATGTGCTGCCTCTAGTGTAAAACCAGCATGTGCTGTCTCAAGTGTAAAAACCAGTATGGCCTTCCTCTAGTGTAAAAACTAGTATGTGTATGTGTCTCAAGTGCAAAAAACCAGTATGTGTTGTACCATTATGTAAAACCAGCATGTGGTTACTCTAGTGTAAAACCAGCATGTGCTGCCCTAGTGTAAAAACCAGTATGTGATGTCTCTAGTGTAAAAACCAGTATGTGCTCTCTAGTGTAAAAACCAGTATGTGCTGCCTCTAGTGTAAAAACCAGTATGTGGTGTACTCTAGTGTAAAACCAGTATGTGCTGCCCTAGTGTAAAAACCAGTATGTGCTGCCTCTAGTGTAAAAACTATGTGCTGCCTCTAGTGTAAAAACCAGTATGTGCTGCCCTAGTGCAAAAACCAGTATGTGTTGTACCATTATGTAAAACCAGTATGTGGTTACTCTAGTGTAAAAAACCAGTATGTGCTGCCCTAGTGTAAAAACCAGTATGTGGTTACTCTAGTGTAAAAACCAGTATGTGCTGCCTCTAGTGTAAAATCAGTATGTGCTGCCTCTAGTGTAAAAACCAGTATGTGCTGCCCTAGTGTAAAAACCAGTATGTGCTGTACCATTATGTAAAACCAGCATGTGCTGCCTCTAGTGTAAAAACCAGTATGTGCTGCCTCTAGTGTAAAAACCAGTATGTGGTGTCTCTTGTAAAAAACGAGTATGTGCTACCTCTGGTGTAACAACCAGTAGGTGCTGCCGTCTACTGTAAAAACCAGCATTTGTTGCCTCTAGTGTAAAATCAGTATGTGCTGCCTCTAGTGTAAAAACCAGTATGTGCTGCCTCTAGTGTAAAAACCAGTATGTGCTGCCCTAGTGCAAAAACCAGTATGTGTTGTACCATTATGTAAAACCAGCATGTGGTTACTCTAGTGTAAAACCAGTATGTGGTTACTCTAGTGTAAAACCAGTATGTGGTTACTCTAGTGTAAAAACCAGTATGTGCTGTCTCTAGTGTAAAAACTAGCATGTGGTTACTCTAGTGTAAAAACCAGTATGTGCTGCCTCTAGTGTAAAAACCAGTATGTGCTGCCTCTAGTGTAAAAACCAGTATGTGCTGCCTCTAGTGTGAAAACCAGTATGTACTGCCTCTAGTGTAAAAACCAGCATGTCTCTAGTGTAAAAAACTGCCTCTAGTATGTGGTGTCTCTTGTAAAAAACGAGTATGTGCTACCTCTGGTGTAACAACCAGTAGGTGCTGCCGTCTACTGTAAAAACCAGCATTTGCTGCCTCTAGTGTAAAATCAGTATGTGCTGCCTCTAGTGTAAAAACCAGTATGTGCTGCCTCTAGTGTAAAAACCAGTATGTGGTGTCTCTTGTAAAAAACGAGTATGTGCTACCTCTGGTGTAACAACCAGTAGGTGCTGCCGTCTACTGTAAAAACCAGCATTTGCTGCCTCTAGTGTAAAATCAGTATGTGCTGCCTCTAGTGTAAAAACCAGTATGTGCTGCCTCTAGTGTAAAAACCAGTATGTGCTGCCTCTAGTGTAAAAACCAGTATGTGCTGCCTCTAGTGTAAAAACCAGTATGTGGTGTCTCTTGTAAAAAACGAGTATGTGCTACCTCTGGTGTAACAACCAGTAGGTGCTGCCGTCTACTGTAAAAACCAGCATTTGCTGCCTCTAGTGTAAAATCAGTATGTGCTGCCTCTAGTGTAAAAACCAGTATGTGCTGCCTCTAGTGTAAAACACAGTATTTGCTGCCTCTAGTGTAAAAAAAGTATGTGCTGTCCTCTGTACCTGACACGTCATCGGAGACGAGGTTGATTCTATCTCCCGGTTGGCCCATGATATCAAAACACACGGACGTGTCAAGGCCCTTCACGTGCACGATGAAATGGGGATCACTGTCCACTGAAGCATGTCAAAATAAATTTAATTAATTTAATTAATGTGTTTGATGTGTGTTTTTGTCACAATGCAATCAAACCATGCAAGAACGTCACTTCTAATTTCAAATTTTATGAATAGTGTCCATTCATGTATGAACATAGTGCTTTATCAATAGAACCAATAAAATTGTTATTTCTACATCAGCGATTTCCTCATTAGCATTGTCTAAATCAGTGTTAACTATCATATATTATAAGTCACGGACTGTTGTGGAGATTGATAAGCGGTTACAATCAGGATAACAGATCGCATTAGAGAACTTCACGTACGCCCGACGAAGTCTGTGTTAAACACAAATATCGCACTTGAATGACTACCAAACTTCCCAACAATTGTGACTTAATGCAACATAGAAAGAGATAACTAATGTATTTTGTTATATAAGTTTACTCTTTTATACAACGCCCATTCACATTCTCTAATGCTGCATTATTTTAGTCTCACTTTGAACAACATAGTTTTATAAATTCGTGTAACACCAAGTATTTATTCTTACCCTCTAATGCTAGATCATGTTCACCTACCTGAGAACAATAGAGTCTTATTCACGATATCATTTTTGATAACTTATGTGATATACCAGGCAATTCGCAGAATAAAAACAACAACATAAATGCTAATATACTTAAGTGCAAAAAGGTAAGCAAATAAGTAAGTATGCATTGTAACTGGGAATAACACATTTCCAGTCTATACAATAGCTTACACGTAGTAAGTATCTCTAAAAATTCAATGTATTGACTAATCACATCCAGTAATACAATGAAATAACTGTTAAAAATAATTGTAAACATTTACTCATTTTCCCCTCTTTATGTATACTTACTTTTGTTCCTCAGTATATCAAATGAAATAGTTCTATTACATTATATGTCCACACTAAAATCGATCAAATCTGACAATTTCTACAAGTGATGAGAATAACATGAGCGGTTATCTAAAATAGTTTTGTACCATTTCAAAGTTACAACTTAATTAAATCTCCGTTACATCATTGTCATCAATTAAATCAAACACAGTTTTATCAAACATTCACATCACACATATACTCAAATTCTATGATACTAAAGGCAATAAATGAACTATATTACACAGATACCTTTAAGAAGTACAAGGAGAATTTGTCAATGTGTTCCAAGTATATTACGCCCACGTTCTGTATCAGAAGAAAAACCCCTTCTTATTGGGCATATTTCAAGAAAGTCGATCATCTTGTCATCAAAATTTTACCAAATAAAAAGTTGGCACGATAGAAAATTAGTCGCTTATGATAAGGATAATTTCAAGATTTTATTAAAACAACGATTTTCCGCTGGTGTCTCAACTATAAAGGGAGACATGGTTATCAACATCTTGTCGACAGCAACAATCACAGTAAAACATCGGTCTGGAAGAGTCTTTGTTAATAATATCTAATCTAGAATAAACATTCACACACAGGACGGGATGTATAATATGTCATATCAATTATACTGATTGGAATCATTTATATATAGTTTGCTGAAAACGATTTGGTAACGAGTTGGTGTTATTACCTTACTAGAGTAATATACATTCTATATTCTGACATGTCCTACCGTAGTTATTAGAGTAACAGTAGCTTGTCATCAGTGATTAAAATTATTATAAATATTTACCAAAACATTGGTAATAACCTTCTTTACCATTGATACGAATCAATTAAGCATTAACCCATAAGACTTATGACAGCCGAAGTCCATTGACACCAAACAAAACAAGGGCCGTCATAGATGGGTTAAGCTCTCCAACTGGGACAAAGTTTAACTATGAAAACTAACAAAGGGCACTAAGAGAGTTAATATTCTTGTGCACTGCCCTCCTACTCGTTTAGATCTATCTGCCTAAGAAGTTCACCGTTTATAGCTTTAGTGCAAGATTTAAGCATAAAAAAGGGCAATAACTCCTAAATTATGCAAAAGAGAATGATGATTCTGGTGCACTGCACTTTTCCTTGTTAAGATCTATCTACCTATGAAGTTTTATGTTGATACTTTTTGCGTAAGGCCCAGGACAAAATTATGACGGACGGACGGACGGACAATGCAGCGACTATAGGATCTCCTGCGGGGAGCATAATAAATTTCCTTGGCATCAATAGTCTACCAGATTTGCTATCTTACCAAAGGAAGGAGATTTGCCGATGAGTGCTTGACCAGGATTGGGCCCAGCTTGCCAAGTAGATTTAGTGGTCTCTTCTTCCTCTAAAAAATGATGAATATTCATAAGATAATACAAACGGAATATAGCAGATTGACCAGGTATGTCTAAAATCACAATATACACAACAGAGCCAACCTTACAATGTTAAAAAAAATATTCATAACCTTATGGTACTCTTAGACCCTAAATGCCTTTTGAAAAATTCAGATTTTCTGGTTTCTTATAACTGTATATATCTCTTATTTGAATTGTACATGTAGCCAACATGTGAAAAAAAGTGGAGAAACTAGCCGCCATATGTATTTAAATTTAGTATTTTCACACGTGGTCGCAAATAACCTTTTTGTTTTACCAAAATTTCATTTTTTCCAGATTGATCACAAATTAGATGAGTTTGATTTAGGAGAAACAGCGAGTCCTTGTTGTCTTCTGTCTTACCTTCAGGATCTACCATGGTCTCCTCTTCCGGCTTCGTTACCACCATGGATGTCAGGGGTGTCACAAAGTTGTACTACAATTCAAATAGAAGAAAAAAATATTCGACCTCCCAACTCATATAGTTGTCAGGAGGTTGACAATGTCATACTTACATAAGAACAGGAGACAATATTTATCTAGTTTCCTCACTTACGAAGTCGTGAGGAGGTTGTCAAACCCGTGCTAAAATTAATACAGAAGATAGCTTTTATCAAACCTCAATACCAACTTATGATTGAAAATAGTAGTGATATTTTAAAGCAGTCGAATTTTAATTTCCACAAATCTTCAGAAATTTTCAAAAATCATTATATGCAATATCACTGAAAAAATATTGCATTAACTAGAGACGTAAAAATCTTGAAAGTAAAAAGATGTTGGGTGTAATTTATTCACTAATCTGCCTTTACTCTGTAATTAAGTCCGTACTTAAAGAAATTATTTGTATGTATGTGTTTTTGTACTATCTCATTACTTTTCAGCCAGTTCCATTACCAACATAAGTTATCGAAGTTGAATTAACAACATAATCTGTTCCAAGTGAAAAAAAAACACTTATTGGTCTCCGTGTGTAACTCAATAGGAACGAGACATTGTTTCTAGATACACCAAAGTGCTATCAATGATAGACCTATTTATACAACTTATTTAAATCTAACGTTACTAAGAATCAATTCATTTCCCGCTTTATTTTGAATTTCGCATATGAACGTAACAGTTTCTGTGATTGGTTACCTTGAGCGCTAGTTGTGTGGCCCTTTCCTTGATCTCGTCTCGAATCGTTTGATTGGTCTCCCTCAGTCGGTCGTCCAACAATTGTTTTATGGTTACATAAGCCCATATCTTCTCGGCAATGTCAGTGAAGTTCACGTTCGGCCGAGTGTCGTCTTCAAATGACGTCATGTCTACGTCATTCAAAATAGTATTTCCAGAAGAACGTAGTTCTAACAGACCATTCGAACTCTCTCCGATAATAGAAACAGGTAGGTCGGTCATCGCCGTGTCCATCAACTGACCTGTTACAACTATCTCGGATCCCTCGAAATAGTTAGGAAATATCACATTTGAAATTGTATTTTTTATCACAGTATCATCTAAATAACGGAATGTAACGTTAGATACGAGAACAGAGGAGACTTCGTCGTAAAAACCAGTTAGCTGTAAATCGGCGTCAGATGCCTCATATATTTTACGGGCGAACCCATTGTTCTGTAAAGATAGACGCTTGAGGAAGTCAAAGTCCGCTCTATCTCCAAAAGCCAATGAGAAGACAGGTACACCTTCTGTGTTACGTGTCCTAATATTGGTGAGAATTTTGTTGACATTCGTTTCACCGGCGGTTGCATCGCCATCCGTCAGAAAAATTACGATTGGGATGCTGTCGTCCGTGTTGTCCTTCAAGGCATCCTCGATACCCTGCATCACAGCGCCATCTATATTTGTCCCTGTGTAAATACATTAAGGTCAATGAAAGTTCCAATTCTGAATCAATTATTTGACCTAGAAGTTCGAACTTTTTTTGTATGATTTAACATCCATGCTACATTGAAGTGGTACAGTTTTAATTCTAAAGGAGTTACGATAGGTTCTGTATTGGAAAGTTAAACTGAGTTTTGATAGTATTTCTTGTAATTCATTGGGTGTTCGTGGAATTTGACGAAGCCATACAATGTATGCACGGTCGAAATGTTTTATGATAAAACAGTCTTTATAGTGTTAATATTTCGTTTATTGTTGTTGCTGTTAAAACCTTAATAACTAATTTAAAGACATACAATATGAATTAAAGTTGTTCACAAAACTAAACCATATTTAAAACACAACAAAACATATTTAGTGCACAATTGTAAACCTTACAAAGGATCTGAAAGGAATTTGAATTCCATATAAGATCTTATGAAACAATAACAAAAATGAAAATTTCAAGACGAGTTTCTGAACGATAAAAATTTGTTTTTTGTTTTTGACACGTTACTCAGAAAATTTACATTTGGGCAGGTTGTAGAGTTAATTTAATGAGGACAAAATCAAACGGAGGCAGCTAATTGGTAGTGCTATTTTCAACTCAAGATATAACGACACTGTCCACAATATGACATCAAAATTGAGCTACAGTAACAAAAACAAAATATTACACGAGTTAATTCATTGGATAGAAGATAGATATTGTGATAAATCGATTTATCTGTTTTGTTAGGTATGGATGACAAAGTCACGAAATTCAGCTCCGCCTGCTTATGATAAAACGATGTAAAGATGATTGCGTCAGTGTTTCAACCACAAACAGTCAAAGTTTTTGTACCGTGTTGTACTTACAGCCATCAGCTATCATCCCTCTGACGTACGCCTTGGCGGACGCGATGGACTCCTCGGTAACCGGAACAGCAGACATACCATCCTGCCATTTTTGGTTGCCCCCGTGAAACTTGATGATATTAAACTTATCTTCTTCACTGAGATCGTCTAGGATTTCGATCATGGCGGTCTGCAGTTGTTTCATCTTAGTTCCCACCATCGATCCACTGGTATCCAAAACGAAAAGGATTCTTCTGCGCATGCGCTCTAGCCCATAAGGGGCGAAGAAGTGAACAAAATATCCGTTGACAACCTGTAATTAAATTAGAATTTTAGTAGTAAAAAATAAGCATTTTCCTTTACTTTTCTTTTACTATGAAAGGAGTATATATGTTGTTGCTGACATCAGTCTATTCACGAGAAAGTTTCATCATAGACTAATAACGCAATTCTTGCAACAGAAAACATCATATCAACAAACAATTTATATAAACTAAAAACCAACAGAAAGACAACAAGATAGGAACTAAGGATAGAACGATACCATATACAAAAACACCTACTTTTCTAGCCTCAAACAACACATCTAACATTTTTCAATAAAACAATGATTGGGACCTAAACACTTTTCCGTCTTTTCAGAAACCAGATCATGCAATGTATTTTATACGAAGCTTCCAATCATCGTTGACTGAAACGTAAAGTAAGCTGTTTATTAAAAGTCTGAAGTGCCCAAGGTTTCCCATTCTGGTGTGTAAATACGTAGCATAACCAAGGAATCATCATTGTACATGCATCTATAAATTATACTGAAGACTTGGCAAGGTCTTTGTCACCTTGTTCGAAAACAGTGACCACCAAGACAGGGAAGATAGTCCCTATATCTATGTCAACACTTTTTTGTAGTCATTTAGATGATGTTGCCGCAAAATCGATATGTTGCATATCGATATTTCTCCTAATTCCATCCTCTAGAAGTTTTCGTATTTTTGCGACTCTCTAGTGTAGCTCTAAACATTATTACAGCAAGTGAACAATGTGGTTCAATGTTCTTATAAAGAAAATGCGCATGTGTTGTCGCCTTTTAAATGGAGAACTAAAGAAAGCGTCTACATACACAGACCTTGTAATAATACTAATAATAAACTTTATCAATTTTACAACAATTGCGAAGTAAGTTTTTCCAACTTATACTAATCACTCTTCTTGGCTGCTCGTGTGGGAGGAAACCGGTGTACCCGGGGAAAACCCACGTGATCGGGCAGGGGTTTTCCCCGGGTACTCCAGTTTCCTCCTTTGCATACCTTGTATATTAAGCCATTGGCCAGTGGTTGTACCTACCACGACATCACCCGCGTCCAACCGTCTGTCAACGTCATACTCCACCACGAACAACCCGGAAAGTCCCTGCTGAGACACGAGGCTCTGTTCTTGTGCGGACGGTTCATATATGATATGAGCGGACGTCGAAGACGGGCGACTGACCCGTGCAAGTCGATTCTGTTCTATGAAAAGAAATGAAACAATATTTTGTTCTGTTTTTCATTTATTTTCTTTTACTATTGAGTGTTCATATATAGATTGAGAGGGAAAGAGGGAGTTTGGGCTAAAGGGACATAGCTCGTGAAAATTCTTTCAAAATTTGAAACAACAGAGTTTCAATCGAAGGGGCACAACTCTAATAGGCTTATCATTCTGTCTACGCTCAATGGAGTAAGTGATTCGCCAAAACGAGAATATATGTTTGACTCTAAGGTCCAAATAGGCTAATATCGAAACAGGAATTAAACTACACATACCAATACTGTTGTAGTTAATAAGAACATCGTCTCGCAATGGCGGGACTCTAAGGTGAGTGATTTGACGAGAGTCCTGGATATATACTTCCACACGGAAGTCGTTGACTATCTGTCTGGGCCGGATGTAGATAGTATGATCGTAACTTCCGCGTCGCCGCTGGAGAAGTTCGTTGTACGTCAAAGTGAATTTGATCTTGTCTTGTGCTGCCACATTTACGGACACTTTGAATCGATTTGTATCTCTTGGCCTGTAAAAGACAGTTTTAAATGAGCATTAATTACAAATAATCTTCTGTAAACTAGATTTGTTTACACATGAAAAACGTTCAAACACATGTGTTCCTCGCGTTATTAAATGTTACTAAAATAGTTGAATGTCCTTACAAAACGTTAATTAATGGAACTTGAATGATCAGATCTTTTAACAGACATATTTAATATCTCTACACTTATTTACAAAGAAGTTCAAGATTTTCTTTATCGAAAGGCTGTTTAGCCTCGTTGTCGTGATGTACTTACTTGTTAGTTGAGATGTGGCCAGCAGACTGTCCCTTTTTCTTGGCCTTGTCGTACTGAGATTTGGCAGCTTCTCGCTCTTTGATCACCCCAGGATATATCACACCTCCAATCTCTCTGTGGGCAGAAACAGAAACTACCGAACGTCAGAAAAAACATGCATTGTACCCTGGAATTCTCGATATAATATAGCATTGTACCCGGGAATTCTCGATATATTATAGCATTGTACCCTGGAATTCTCGATATATTATAGCATTGTACCCTTGAATTCTCGATGTATTAAAGTATTGCACCCTGGAATTCTCGACATATTATAGCATTGTACCCTAGAATTCTCGATATATTATAGGTATATCGCCTGGGTCAAACCATTGACACAGATATAAAACATATCAATATCCGCTGTCATTGTTTCTCAAAACTGTGGTTCACCGATTTATTATTGCTGTGTGGGCATCTTACCCAACAAACATTGTGTGATGAAATGTTCATTGTCATAATATCAAGCAGAGTACTGAAAATAGTGAATGCAGTCAGTGTTTCAAATTTATTTATTTAGTTTTTTTTTCTACTTTTTTTTTCAAATATTTTCATTAGCTGAGGGAAAGATTGACAGATCTGACGCGTCGTGGACTGAATACTTTTAATACCTTCTTCTCTAAGCCAGAATATAACTTAAAATACTGACACGTATTCTATCATTCGAACATCATTTACTGTAATGTGATATAATCGAAACTCCACCATTTTGTGTTTAACTTCGAGCACTTAATCTGATCTGATGACGTCAGTATAAGTACGTATTTCAAACGGAAATATAGTTCCAATTTTCTGTTAAAGTGGCAATGTGCTTGTTATTCTTTTCTATTTAAACTTGATAGCAAAATATATATTAACTTTTCAGAAGTTATAATGGGATGTTTCATAAGGAAAACCGACGCACGTGACAAAACAATGCTGATAGCCGTCACCGCCAGAACAGAGGAAAAAAATATGATTGCAGATAATGTGATCAAAATGCTGTTAATGGTTTCTTTAGAGTCCTTACATCAGAAACATGCTGAACAATATCACCATGATGTTTATACAGGTGTTAGTATAAGATAGTAATGTAAATTTCTGGATCTGTAAGGAAAAAACCGACATATTTTTTCTATCATGATGGACAATGTGTGATGGAAAGAACCGATTTGGATGGAAATTAATACCAGGTGTTGTGTACATATTAAACTGAGATATCAGTTAGAATTGAAAACTTTCTCTGATTCTGATTTCAGTCAGATACAATTTACATAACAGAGGCAGTATAAATGAGATTTTACAAATGGTTGAATTTTTTTTTTTTTTTTTGATGATTACCAAATGTGCTTGTACAATGGCGGGCAAGACGATAGACATTGCCCATCTTGAGCATCGCCTCACTCTTGAACATTCTATTACATACTCCCTAAAAAGACCAATCAGAGAGCAAAAAAATGGACGGACAGAGAGAGAGAAAAAAACAAAAAACACACACACATCGTTGATTGGTAAAAATTTTCAGTAATACTCACTTTAAAATTTTCGTTAAAATGTCGAACTTACAGTGTGAAGTTTGTGATATAGGCAGCGTCTGGAAGTGTGACATCAAATGTAGTCTCGTGGTCAGCAATATCGGCGTTAGAAATGGAGCTGTAGACGGTTGTGGTAGCAAAGCGGAAGTGAATGTCGGACCGGATGTGGAGGGAAGTGATAGTGGGACCCTGAAAAAGGTACGACAAGATGTTTATTCCACTAAAATACAATTCATCGTAATGTAAAAACAGTTATGACATCGTATAGCTCTCGTATGTTATAATTTAACATTTGATGCTAGAACGGGTTGTCAAACGCCGATTTTGGAAAGTTTATCAATTCTCTCGGACAAATAAACAATATAGAACATCAAATGCACATGTTACATGTACTGAGCCCGTTTCATAAATCCATACATCAACATCCTGCCATAAACCGGTAAGTGATTACCCGCCATCATCAATTTATCGAAAGGGAGAAGGCAGGGGGAGGGGGCGCCGGGCAGATATGGAAAAGGAGGGGGAGGGGGTGCCATCAAGAGAAGTCTGCCACAACTGCACTCTGCAAAAATCTTGCCTGCGTTATATTGTCTGATATTTCGTCTATGTATTGGCCTTTGCCAATCATATTGGTCCTTTCATCTTGAGTCGATAATTTTGCCGTAAAAGACACCTAGCCAAATTGTTGTTTGTTTGTTTGTTGTTATTGGTCCCGATATAATGAATGATAAGTTGTTTCTATGAGGACTTGCCAAATGCTAAACACATTGATAGTGACCCCGATATGTAGGTCCTTACGGATCAGAGAAGTTCTGTGCTACCTTCACACACATTATCTAACGAAAAGTACATTTTCTATATGCCACAGCAGACTTGGGATATTTTATGACATAATCCATGTGTAATTAGCAATTAATACGGCATCCAACATACGTTTGATATCAAATGCTGTTTTGATTTAAGGCTTTTAAGTCAATCTCACCACCGTGCGTTGCATTGTTTGGATTTTCGCTGTTTAACGGTTTAACATGCGTTATATATGTTGTTTCTTATATGTGTTACTATCATGTGTGTAGAAGGCTGTGGTAGTAAAGCGGTTTAAGATGTGCCTCTCCTATTTTGTTCAGTTAGGTGACCACTAGCTATTACATGGAGACCCCGCCTAAAAATGGCTGGCTTTTCACGAGGTTTTAAAGCCAGCAAACAACTTAAGTGTTTTGTTGTGCGAAACTGACATCACATAAAGGTGTTTTGTTGTGTGAAACTGACATTACATTAAAGTGTTTTGTTGTGTGAAACTGACATCACATAAAGGTGTTTTGTTGTGTGAAACTGACATCACATAAAGGTGTTTTGTTGTGTGAAACTGACATTACATAAAGGTATCTTGTTGTGTGAAACTGACATCACATAAAGGTGTCTTGTTGTGTGAAACTGACATCACATAAAGGTGTTTTGTTGTGTGAAACTGACATCACATAAAGGTGTTTTGTTGTGTGAAACTGACATTACATAAAGGTATCTTGTTGTGTGAAACTGACATCACATAAAGGTGTCTTGTTGTGTGAAACTGACATCACATAAAGGTGTTTTGTTGTGTGAAACTGACATCACATAAAGGTGTTTTGTTGTGTGAAACTGACATCACATTATTGTGTTTTGTTGTGTGAAACTGACATCACATAAAGGTGTCTTGTTGTGTGAAACTGACATCACATAAAGGTATCTTGTTGTGTGAAACTGACATCACATAAAGGTGTTTTGTTGTGTGAAACTGACATCACATAAAGGTGTCTTGTTGTGTGAAACTGACATCACATTATTGTGTTTTGTTGTGTGAAACTGACATCACATAAAGGTGTCTTGTTGTGTGAAACTGACATTACATTAAAGTGTTTTGTTGTGTGAAACTGACATCACATAAAGGTGTCTTGTTGTGTGAAACTGACATCACATAAAGGTGTCTTGTTGTGTGAAACTGACATCACATAAAGGTGTCTTGTTGTGTGAAACTGACATCACATAAAGGTGTCTTGTTGTGTGAAACTGACATCACATAAAGGTGTTTTGTTGTGTGAAACTGACATCACATAAAGGTGTTTTGTTGTGTGAAACTGACATCACATAAAGGTGTTTTGTTGTGTGAAACTGACATCACATAAAGGTGTTTTGTTGTGTGAAACTGACATCACATAAAGGTGTTTTGTTGTGTGAAACTGACATCACATAAAGGTGTCTTGTTGTGTGAAACTGACATCACATTATTGTGTTTTGTTGTGTGAAACTGACATCACATAAAGGTGTTTGTTGTGTGAAACTGACATCACATAAAGGTGTTTTGTTTTGTTGTGTGAAACTGACATCACATAAAGGTGTTTTGTTGTGTGAAACTGACATCACATAAAGGTGTTTTGTTGTGTGAAACTGACATCACATTATTGTGTTTTGTTGTGTGAAACTGACATCACATAAAGGTGTTTTGTTGTGTGAAACTGACATCACATAAAGGTGTTTTGTTGTGTGAAACTGACATCACATAAAGGTGTCTTGTTGTGTGAAACTGACATCACATAAAGGTGTTTTGTTGTGTGAAACTGACATCACATAAAGGTGTCTTGTTGTGTGAAACTGACATCACATAAAGGTGTTTTGTTGTGTGAAACTGACATCACATTATTGTGTTTTGTTGTGTGAAACTGACATCACATTACCGTTTTCTATAACTAAATATATCATAAAAATATAGAATAAGTATAACAAAAACTCATGTATCAGTGCATGGTTGATCAGTAAGAGTTGAGATCTTGGCACTACCCTACTATCTATACTCTATTCATCGAAATGTCGTTTCATTCTAAAATGACCACGGCAAAAACCTGTTCTGTTTAATTATGAATAGCAGTAAATGTTAAAGAATTGTTTTATCTGGGAAAATATATTAACAATTCAGTTCAGAAATGATAAATGTGTCTTATGTTGAGTAGTGTGATGTATGTATTATGAGTTTAGTGTGTGTTGTATGGTGTATGGTGTGTGTTGTATGGTGTGTGTTGTATGGTGTATAGTGTGTGTTGTATGGTGTATGGTGTGTGTTGTATGGTGTGTGTTGTCTTAACATGAGATATGTGATATAAGGTATATTTGTAGAGTATGATACAAAACATTCGGAACTCCTCCATTTGTCCGAGCTTTAGCGGTTTTACTTCGATAGGATGAAAATCATCGTTGTTTTTGCTTTCATTTAATGATTGAAATCAGAATTCAAGCACGTAGAACTGAGCATATTGGATAAATTCAATTTTTATGTTGCTGTCAAGGTCAAGTTCACGGTATCTTTTTTATCAGAAAATCCTTTTCAGAATTCTAGTATGTTTATTCGTTATTTGATTTCGATAAATCCTCACGCATTTATCCATAAATTTATCGTTTTTTCACGGTGCAGTCATGGTTATACTGAGAATGAATTTAGATAATTTGCGATGCCTATTCTAAACATAATGCTCTGTTTGGCATTTGGACTTAAGATCTACACTCGGTAAATCAGTATACCTAACATGGTCCATTTTTCCAGGCATGCCAAAGACTATAAACCGTAGAGAACCTCGTACGATATGTACATGTAATTTGTAGACATTCTGGGGATGTTTATTGCAATACTAGAACATATTTTGTTACGGATTGTGTTTCTACAGAACCCCGATCGTACTTAGATGATGTAAAAATGGAAATGGCATCTGTTAGTTTACAAAAAAAAAGCATGGTTTCCGTCTTACTTAGTTCCAGGCTTTGTTTCTCATCACTGATGTGTTTACAATCTGACACTTGTACGCCAGACGCAGATGGTGAATCCCACGCATTCGGAACACCTCTCGCTATTTTACGCGCCATTAAGTCATTGTTGTTTATGATGATACAACGGAAGAGCAACAAAAGTCTCATTCAACCTGCTTCTCTCACACTCGTAAAACATTCATTTACAGCCTCTCATTTATCTATGTACACATAAACGTAAAACAAGTAAACCAAATAACGCGACGAAAATAAAGGAATGATCTGTTCGTGTCGTGGCGAATTCTACTACACTTACATACACAGTTTATTGAGCTCTCCTAAATACCCACGGCTGTCAGTATGCCAAGTTTATACCTTTAAACATACTCGACTGTCGTCTTGTTTCATGTACAGGTACATCTTAGTATGCGTTATATAACAGCATTTGATATGGATTCTTAAAGCATGTTACAGAAATGAGAGAGAGACGACCTCTATTTCAGGTTAATCTGCTCTTCATTTTGGCGTCAGAAATACGAACCAGTCAAGTTTTATATGTTTGGAACTAGACAAAAAGTATCCTTAGTGGCGGTCTCTATTCCGACCGACCCAAAACCTCTACTCCTATCTGGAATGGTGTTAAAGGCAGTGGGATGGTGTTATATATGTACTGGGATGGTGTTACATATGTACTGGGATGGTGTTATATATATACTGTGATGGTGTTATATATGTACTGGGATGGTTTTATATATATACTTGGACGGTGTTATATGAAATAAGATGATGTTGATATAAACTGAGATAGTTATATGTTCTGGAATAGCTATATTTCCATGTAACAATTATCGGAGGATGTCTTCTTTAACAACGACGATACGGATGAGTATCCAACACAAAATGCCTTTACTGATCGTCCAGTCTGACAAAATGATGTGTAAAATCTAGACTCAAGCAAAACTACATGCATGTGTACACGATGAGTAACATTCATCATTCATCATAACCATCTCATTAGCGTGCTTACCACAGCGAAACATACACCAGATCTCCTACTTCTATCGTTTGTACTCTCGTCGAGTGACGAACAACTCCCACGCGTGGAGGACGAAATGAGGTAGTTTAATTTGAACCCGTTGGTATTTTTGCCCATCAATGGATTCTGTATTATTAGGATTACTTCAGCTGATACTAGCTTTACTGATGTGTATTGACATAGCTAGGTTGGCTGACAGCTGTAAGGAGCTATCACTATCACCAAACTATATTTATGCACTTTACTTATAACTGGTCATTAACATCTGACAGGACGGGAATGATAAGTTTATGCTGTGTTGCAGCGTTCGCCGTCCGTCTGGAAACATGTTTTATCCTTGATACGACTTCGTCTTAATGAGAGGTCAAAGGTCATGACATTC